CTCTCTCTCTCTCTCTCTCTCTCCCTCCCCGTTTTTTTCAATTCAAAAATTCATTCCTCCGACCCTAAGTGCGACTAAGGGATGAAATTTGTGCCAACGTGTTGAGCATTGTATACTCAATACGTGATACAAATTATATCCCTTAGCACCTGTTAGGGAAGGAGGAGTGACTTTTTGAAAGAGCGAAGACATTGAAAAAATTTTTTTTTTTCAATCTCTTCGCTCTTTCAAAAATTCACTCCTCCCTCCCTATTAGGCGCCAAGGGATGAAATTTGTGGCACTTATTGAGTAGTAAATTCTCAACACGTTGGCATAAATTTCATCCCTGAGTCGCAGTTAGGGTCGGAGGAATTAATTTTTGAATTGAAAACAAAATTTTTTTTTCAATCTCTTCGCTCTTTCAAAAATTCACTCCTCCCTCCCTATTAGGCGCCAAGGGATGAAATTTGTGGCACTTATTGAGTAGTAAATTCTCAACACGTTGGCATAAATTTCATCCCTGAGTCGCAGTTAGGGTCGGAGGAATTAATTTTTGAATTGAAAACAAAATTTTTTTTTCAATCTCTTCGCTCTTTCAAAAATTCACTCCTCCCTCCCTATTAGGCGCCAAGGGATGAAATTTGTGGCACTTATTGAGTAGTAAATTCTCAACACGTTGGCATAAATTTCATCCCTGAGTCGCAGTTAGGGTCGGAGGAATTAATTTTTGAATTGAAAACAAAATTTTTTTTTCAATCTCTTCGCACTTTCGAAAATTCACCCCTCCGTCCCCAAAAGGCGCTAAGGGATGAAACTCATGTAATTGAATTGAGCATTTAATACTCAATAAGTGACACAAGTTTCATTCCTTAGCTATAATTCGGGGGGGAGGGATGAATTTTCAACGGAGACGCGCGTTCCCCGCGCCACGCGACACTGTAACCAATGAAATGACGATCGGTTGATCGTCCTTCCATTGCGTGTGGAGGGGGAATTACGTTCTCCATTCGTTCGTTCGTTCGTTCGTTCGTTCGTTCGTTCGTTCGT